AAATTCTTAACAAATGCAATCTACAAGTTTGCTGACACCACCGTAGTAGGACGGATATCTAACAATGACAAGTCAGAATACAGAAGGGAGATAGTGGGCTTGGTGACATGGTGCAATGAGAACAATCTGTCTCTCAACGTTGGCAAAACTAAAGAACTGATCATCGACTTCAGCAAGAAAGGAGGAGAACATGCCCCCATCCAAATCAACAGAGCTGAGATTGAGAGGATGGAGAGCATCACGTTCCTCGGAGTGACGATAATCGACAACCTGTCCTGGATTTCCCACATAGATGCGACGGTCAAGAAGGTACAACAACGCCTCTCCTTCCGCAGGCACCTCAGGAAATTTGCCATGTCCGTAAGGACCCTCACCACCTTCCACAGATGCACCATTGAAAACATACTGTCTGGGTGTATAATGACCTGGTATGGCAACTGCTCTGCCCAGGACCGTAAGAAACTACAGAAGGTGGTGTGCACAGCCCGGACCATCACAGAAGCCAACCTTCCATCCATGGACTCTGTTTACACGGCTCGCTGCTGCGGAAAGGCAGCCAACATCATCAAAGACCTATCACACCCCGGTAATAATCTCCTACAACCTCTTCCATCAGGCAGAAGGCACAGAAACCTGAACACACGCACCAGCAGGTTCAGGAACAGCTTCTTCCCGGCTGATATCAGACTGATGAATGGACTCTCTAGCCTCAAATAATGTAACCTGCAACGTAACCTGTATGCCTCTAAGTCTTTTTGATCCGTACTTCCTTTGCTTGCTGTGATCTGCCTGTACCGCTTGTAAACAAAGCTTTTCACTGTATTTCGGTACATGTGACACATGTAAAATTTTAAACGTGTAAAATCAATCAAACCAAATCATCTATTTTTGCACTGCAGAAATTCAATAAGACTCTTAAGACAGCACCTTACACACCATGATCACTATCATTTGGAAGGACAAAGGCAACAGATACATTAAAATCCCACAACCTGCAAGTTTCCCTTCAAAATCACTCACCATCCTGACTTCGAAATGTTTTGCAGATCCTTCACTGTTGCTGGGTCAAAATCCTGGAATTCCCTCCTTCACAACATTGTGGATCTACCCACCACACATGTGACCCTAATGCTATCCCAGTGCATTAAGAACCCAGCTCACCTCCACCTTCTCAATGGCAAACAAGAATGGGCAATAAAAACTGGCCCAGCCAGCCACACCATAATTCCATGAATAAATTTTTAAAAATGCACTCCAGATTCACCATTCAAGAACCTTTTCATTAAAAAATGAACCACAACCATGCCACCCATGTCACTCGTTAAAATACCAATTAACCAACACTGCCCACCAGGAAATTTCTGACACTATTGTCCATTTCATAGAGCCATACAATTCTTATAATGCGGAAGCAGGCCATTCAGCCCATCGAGTCCACATTGTCCCTCTGAAGAATCCTACCCTGACCCAACCCCTAACCTATCCCTGTAACTTTGCATTTCCCATGGCTAATCCCATCTAGCTTGCCTGGACACGATGTGCAATTTAGCATGGCCAATCCACCTAACCTGCACATCTTTGGACTGTGGGAGGAAACCGGAGCACCCAGAGGAAACTCATGCAGACACAAGGAGAAAGCTAAAACTCCAGACAGACAATTTGCCACTGTTTACAACTCCGTGAAGTCATTGTTGGATATTCTGTTGCATGAAAAGTTCTTTTGAAATGCAAGCTGCTATTATTGATGAAAACACAAGATATTGGAAAGCTTAAATCCTTAAGCAGGAACTGTGGAAGCGGAAACAGAATTAATGTTTCAGGGTGATGCCCTTTCCTCAGAACAGTTATGATGGAAGTTCAATAACTTGAAACGTTAACCCTGTTTCTCTCTTCACAGATGCTGCCAGACCTGTTGAATATTTCCAACATTTTCTGTTTGCATTTCAAATTCCAGCATCAGAAATCTAACATTTTAATTTTGTATTCTTATTGTTTAAATCTAATTTGAAATGCTAGCTACTGTATACAAAAAGATAACCTAATGGCACAGTTACATCAGAAACTATTTATCTTGTCCTAAAATTTTGTGGCATGAATCTCGTATCTGGTAATGACTGCAGTATAAAGCAAACTGAATTGGGACTCCTGAAAGATTCTGTTTTGATCCAGAGTCAGGTTAAGGCTGAACTGTAGATTTACACTAATAACTTCAGTGTGGGAGCAAATTAAAATCTATGTTGTGTAATTGATTCTTAAATTGATTAAACTAAAATGCAGAATTGAATCTCAATGCCCAAAGCAATTTTTCCAATACCGATTGCCCAGTATTAAATATGACTTAATCACTGATGGATTTGTTCATAAACAAAAAAGACTGTGCCAACAGTGCTTATTGAAAACAGAATGTTTATTAAAATCTTCTTACAGAACACTTCCAGTGCACTACAGACTTTCCAGAGAATCTAATTTGCTAACATTTACCATACAGGAATTCAGGTGAACTAGGGTAAGTGGTTTCCCTGGTAACCATCATGAAATATGGTGTTTGCTTCCAAATGATCTTTCATTTCTACATAATCAGGTTTTCTCTTAACACTAAAAGCTAATACTCCCTAATTTTAATACAGGATGTCTTTGTTATCCACATTTTGAATTAGAGAGGAGAGTAGGTGTGAATTGGGATTGCAACTTGTCTGTTTATGACCCCCAACCTCCTGTTTGCACTGGCTGTATTTAATTACAAAAAAATTGAGGAATTATTTGCTAATTTCTCTTTAAAATGTTCTTACTTGTTATAACTGAAATGAAAAAATCAGAGGAAGATAAAACGTAGGAGAATCTTTTATCTCAAAATTTTTGTGGGAAAAAATATGATGCATTGAGAGTACCAACACATCAAACTGGTTAAAACGTTGTTGGATATAATGCAGATTAGCTTCTCAACTTCACTTATCTTCCCTTTGCATTTGCCTTACATCAAATAGCAGCTCCTACAGGATAGTTTGTGCTGCTGTCCTCATAGTGGCAACCACAAGGATTGGGACAACAAGCAACAGTGAAAAGGACTAATCGGTACCTTATACTGATCAGCCTCAGAGTATGGTTTGGCAGCAAATCAGCCCTCAAGATGGAAAAGAGGGGTTGGACTGAACCTTACAGCTAAATTTCAACATGGAGTTTCAAAGCTTTACGAAAATAGACAGCAGTTTACATTCCAACTGAAGTGTTTACTTCAACCCATCTCGTCATTCTCTGCTTTTAACTCCTTGTCAAGGTCCTCAGTGCCTTTGGCTCATCTGATCTTGTGGTCAGAGAGCAGGGATCAAGCGTCACTGTCAGGATTCAATGAGGCTGTCTACACGTCCCTGTTCCTGTCATTGTCAGGATGATGATTGTGTCCTGCAGTGTCATGTCACCTCGTTATTAGAGGACTTGTCACTGAACAGCTGACGACAGTATCATCATCATCTGATTCCTGCTAACTCTGACATACCTTCAGGCTTTCACTTGAACTTTCTCTTACAGTTTGATTTGTTTATTCACGGTTGTGGTGAGCCATTACCTGCTACCATGTCAGGCGTTTCTGATTCTGAATTAGATTGGTCATACTGATGGTGGGGATGGTGATGATTTTGGTGGTGTTTATGTGTATTATGCCCCAACTGCACAGGATCTGTCCTGTTTTGCTGGAGTTGGTCTTCTTCATGGACATTGGGATTGTGGTTCCGATGAGCATGATGGTGTCCTCTGTGGTGTTTCCTTAAATCAATTTTTAATGTTTGTGTTATGTTTCTTGCAATACATGCTGGAGAATTATCCTGCAGGTACAAGGACAGGACATGTCAGACAATGTAAACATAGCCCATATTTCTAAATACCTTAAATGTATACTTTTACATACCTGAATATTTAAAATAAAGTTATCTTGTCATTATCACATTGTTATTTGTTGGATCTTGCTGTGCATAATTGCAACATTACAACACTAACTACCATTCCAAAGTGCTTCATTAACTGAAAAAATGACTTGGGAAATCTTATGGATGTGAAAAGTGCAATAAAATTCAAAGTCCTTGTCTTTTTGACATTGAGTTGTGTTGATATCACTTATTCTTTCTTGAGATGTAAATGTCACTCAAGGAAGTGCCTTCTTGAGTCATTTTAGGGGGGTAATTAAGGGTTAACATGTAGGTCAGACCAAGTAAGAATGCAGATTTCTCTCCCTAAAAGGACATTATTAAACTAGATGAGTTTTTACATTTACAACTAATTACAGTTTTGTTGTCAGTTATTGCTTGTTTCATTGCCACCATATCCTAGTGGGCTCAGTCTATCCTGGCATTTCTGTATTTCCCAGTCAGACAACTGTTGTGCTCACTAACCCTCAGTCTATCATTCGTCCAACTGTTCAACTCTCTAGTCTGTTCTCAGGTTATCAGTGTACGATGGCACAACACATTTCCTAGCATTTGAATAATATCATAAATTCATAGCTTGGTACTTACCTGAACAAAAGAGCAGTTACTGCATATTCTTTGACAATATGTTTTTACAATTGCATGTGCCACAAACGGTTGTGATAGGATGGTATACGGCAGTTCCAGGTGATAAGTCAGGTGGCCACAGCTGTTAAAAAAATTTGCAGTTTGTTAGATTCCTACAGCAGAAGATTAGAAATTTAAATAGAGAAAGTTAAATGTGTTTGTACTGTGGCTGGTAAAAGGAAAGTAGTGTATGCCTTTTGTGATATTCAACTTGTAAAGTGATTGTAGAGTGTTGAGGAAAATTGAACATAGACAAAAGCATAACTAATTGCTTGGTAGCACAGAACTTAAGCATTGTTAAAAAGAGCTTTTTGTTTTGCACTCACTAAAACCATGATACAATGAACAGACTTTGACAAAGGGACATCAATCTATACAGCATGAGAATATGGTACTGATTTGTCGGTCGATCATTGGAATGGCGATGCATCAAGAACAGTTAATTGTCAAACTTAATTCTCAGACCAGACAGGTAGATTTTGATTGGTCAGGTTGTTGCCATGGGGATGCTTCCTTGACCTTTTTTGACAAAATGTTTGTACGCAAACCGTTTGCCTACATAAAACAGCATCTTGCTTACTTATGTATGTAGCATTTAGCATGCAGCAATACATCACACTGCGAGCCCAGCTGATGGGTGTCCAACCCAACTCTTAGCATAGTCTGGATTATTTAATAAATGATTCTCAACAGCAGAATAACATCCTATGGTGGATATACTTTTCAGGATTGCAATCTCAGGCTATGGACCATGATCAGCACGTTGACAGCCTAGAATAGTTGACAAGATGTGTTATTTGAGACGGTCTGCCAGTCATTGGGACATATGGCCTATGTAACGAGCACTGAAATTCATATATCACATTACACATTTGTGTGGTTGCTAAAATGTCTTTTTGGCTTGATTACAGGATCCTGGTAATGGAAAGAAAAACACCCATGGATTGACTGTATAGTAGCAGCTTGTTGTGCAGATTTTTCAGATACTTCTCTTCGCAGGGTAATCTGAGGTAGATTGAGATTCATTTCAGGTTCAAAAATGGTGCACAGGGGCCTTTCTTGAGTTTTGCAATATACAAGTGATGATTTGATCAGGGCATCCATAATCACACAGGATAATTTTGATATGCTCTATTTCAGCATCAAGCTTACATGGTGAGCACATGGCTACAGCCCCATTCATGAGGTTGCTAACAAGATTGATCCTGTGGTGTGTGAGACTGTAGGAATCCAAACATACGCACTGATTGGTGAACATAGGCTTTTGGCAGATCATAGCTAACCCATTGTCAAACTCA